CTTCCAGGGAAAAAGTGTGTGCAATGTGGCTCAGATTAAGCAGAATGAAAGGAATTCCTTGGTCTCCAAGCCAGAGATTTGGCTCTGAGCCAAAGCAGGGCCCTGGCCTCTGGTCTCAGGTCCCCGAAGCATGAGCAGTGCTCATTCTGGGTGACTCATTGTTTCTGAAAGAGGGAGATGAATGTCCTGGGCAGCAGGGCTCAGGGACAAGGACATTGCCTGAAGCTGCTGTGCATGCACACCTGGAGGGACTTCTCAGCTGCCATGGCCTGCTGTCCTTTGGGTCACTATGGTGGCCGCCATAGAAAGAATCTCCAGCCAACCAGGCCTTCAGGATGTTTGCAACCAGCCTCTTCCCTCAGCCTATCTGGAGATGCAGCCCTGGTAACCTAGTCCAGAGTGTGGGCCCTGCCTCTGGACCCCAACAGGATGACCAGCCTCTGGGAGCCACCCCGTACCCAGCCTCTCACCCACCTGGGGTTCTGTTCAAACCTCTTCTTCCCAGGTCAGCTTGCCTAGCCCAGACTGCCCCAAGCTTGTCCCACAGACCCCTGGACTCACCACCGCTGCCCTGGGAGCAGATCAGAGAGTCTCCCCAAGCCTATGACCCATGAAAGGGCTGCTGCACCCAACCATTGGGCCGGACTATGGACAGATGCCCAGCACAGGGCCCCAGCAGCCTAGAACCCAGACTGTACCAGAGCCCAGCTCGTGTCTGAGACAAATCCCCCGGGGGGGTGGGGGGGGCTGTGATTCACAGCTTAAGGGACCAAGGCTCTGAAGAGAACAGCTTTTGCTGTGGGAGGACCAGAAGCTGGTGTTCTAACTCTTGTTTTTTGGATTTGCTCTCTGTCTATTCAACATCCATTAATCAGAGAGCCAAACTATTAGCCACAGGTGTTAGCTTATATCTCCCAGAGCCCATGCTCTGCACTGCGCCAGGATTTCCCTGCCCCACCCAGGCACCAGACAACTAAGGACCGCTGCTGCACCCCAAGGTCACTGGGATGACTCAGAGTAGCCAATCCTAAGCTGTCTATGCTGCCCTGCCCTGTTTTTCGTTTCTTTCCCTCTGACGTGACACTCTCCACTTCAGGCCAAGATAGAGTAACAGGGACTGGATTTACCCATTTACCTGCAACAAAGTGAAAAATGAGGCAAACCCTACAAAGCAAAAACAGTGGTTTTCAAACACTGGACAGAAGGCAACAGAGGACAGCGTCACTGAGACACAGGGAGTAAAGAGGGGAGTCTTCCAATCACCCTGACTTGCTGCCTGGGCATGGCTTCTGGGTTCAAGAAGGAGGACTCCAGGGGAGCAAGGTGTCTAGAATCTGCCCTGGACAGAGTCCCGGAGAACTGAGCTACTCATAGACTGAGCCCAGATATCTGTGGAGGGCCCCCCTCGAAGCTTCAGTTGAGGACTGAGTGGTGTGGCTGTGGGAGGCAACTGAGCCTGGGGCAGGATGTCTCCCCTCCTGCCTAAATGGAGCAGAAGAACCAAGCTCCGGTGTCACCGGGGCTGGGAACAGCGCAGCTTCCAGCAGGGGAGCCAACTCCCTGTACAGCCTCCCTTCACCCTTCTCATTGTTATCCCCCCAAGCCGTTCCTCCCTGTAGCCTCATCCTGTTACACTGTGGTCCATGCATTCTTTAGTGAATCCTTCACACCCATGGAGAGCAAATAAAGATCTCCCAGAACCTTGCCTCCCTGACCAATACCTTTACTTAAAGGCTCGCTCGATTTCTGCTTATCACTTAAGCCCCTTTTGCATTCGTGGCCTGGCCCCCTCCTGGAAGGGACCATCTAAAGCATGGAAGGGCTTCTGGATCTGGCTGGGGGGACAGGTCCCACGTGGAACCACAGGGAGGATGGCCTAGCCCTGGGCAGAGGAGCCACCTCAAAGGAGGATAGGAAGCAACGCGCACCGGATGGTAAGGAGGAGGACGTGCAAGCTGGCATTTTCTGGGTCTTCTCTAGAATGAAGACTCACGCTAGGAAAGTACTTTGGGGCCAGTTAGGTGGGTGGGTCCAGGTCCCGAGGCCTCCCCTGTCTCCAGCTTGTTACAAGGGCCCTAAGGGCGGGGTGTGCTGGGGTTTCCAGGCCTGCAGCATACACAGCCCACAGGAGAGAACACCATGCTCACCCAGATGCACCTGCCTGTCCTGGTGGCAGGGAGGAAGGGACCCACGGACCCCAGCCCATACCAACCACAGCCAAAAGATCTGAGGTGGGGTGAGGACCCCCCAAAGTAAAGGGAGTCACCTCCCAGGCTTCTCCAAGCCCCTTTCTGGATGCCCAGGCTGTGAGGACCCAAACCCTCACCCACTCCCTCCATCCCAGTCTGACTGGAGTAGGAGGGGTGGAGAAGGGGTTCTTGGCCTTATCCTACACTGGGCAGAACAGGAAGAGGGTGATTGAATCAGAACTTCTCACCCCTTCTGGAACATTCCAACATGGAAAACCCACTAAGCAGCTGGGGAAGCAATTTAGGGACTTTAATTAAAGGCTGGTGACTCTCCCACAGAGCCCCACCCCCACACACAGCTGGAAGGACACACCGCATCTGCCCTCAACATGTTCTGAGGCCCAGGCTCCGGAGTTGCAGGTTAGGCCGTTTCCACCGAGAGGGGTATGAGCAGAACAAACCAGTTTACCCTTTCTCTTCATGGCTTCCAGAGTTTGCCTTCTGAGCTCGGCCTGGGCCCAAAGCCAGGTGAACTAGTGGCCCCCATAGTTCTGCACCCAAGAAGCTTTAGGAAGGGAAAAGTGGGCTGTGTTGGCAGACCCAGAAAAGGGACTCGGCGTAAGGAGGAAATAAGCCCGCAGTCAGAACGCAGCTGCCCTGTTCTAAGGCTGCCTGCATCTCAGTGTGCACCTTCCACAGGAAAGGCATTCCAGCCAGAGGGAGCAGCATGTGCAAAGGCTATGAGGGCAGAAAGATCACAGAGGGTGGAAAGAGCTGACAGGGCAGACGCTTTGGGGTGAGAAAAGCACACAGGCAGGGGCGGGAGCACACCTCCGAGGGCTGGATAGCTGCCATCAAGAATCTGGTCTTCATTCTAGAAGCAATGGGGGTTGGGGAGATTAGAGGACTTTAAAACAATGGTATCTGGTTTACTCTGAAGATGCCCCTCTGGACTCCATGCATGCAGACTACTCACTGCAGGAAAATAGAAGAGGAGCCAGGGCAACAGCGAGAGGCCCCCAGGCCATCCAGGGATGAGGTGTCAGAAGTTTGGACAAGTGTGTGTCCAGGGAGAAGGAGCATGCGTGGATCAGGTGGGGAACAAGGACGGGGCCAGAGGCTGTCCTGCCTTCCCTCCTGCCCCTGCCAACCAGGGCAGGTTGCTGTGCCATCCCTAAATGGGGCCCCAGCACGGGGAAAGAGAACAAAGCTGCCAGGGACAAATGCTTGCCACCCAGCAGGGATTCCAAAACAAAGCAACCTCGTTATTGTGAATTAAGCCAGCTCTCCCCTCCACCCACATCAGCAGTCCAAGTTGGGGAGGAGGCTATGGGTACATCTCACCCACATCTGTCTACATCTCTGCCACATCTCCATGGAGGCGACTTGAACCCGCCCCCAGCCCCACCCCTGGCTTGCCCCAGATGGTGGGCCTGGAAAACAGTGCTGGCCCCTGAGGGCAGCTCCTGACTGGAGTGTCCTCTGGGACCAGAACTAGAAGGGCAAGGGGCAGGTCTCCTGGCTACTAGAGACAAATGTCCCTGTCTTTCTCCCCACCACCTGCTGAGCCTCTTCTCATACACCAACATCAGCTGACCCCAAGTCTACGCCATGGGTGGGTCATAGGACAAAGACGGTGGCCTAGGTAAGTGGTGGGACCACTGGCTCACAGTCAGCCGAAGAGGAGAGTGGTGACCAACACACTGCTACTCCCCTGAAAATCCTCCCTTATTCTGACCCTGGGGCCCAGGATAGGGTGCGGCCCCATGTAGCGCAGGGTACAAAGGCCACATCACGGTCAAGGACCCAAGGCCTGGGATTCAGAGGCCACCATCACTAGATTTTACAAGGGCCCAGAGGAGCCTGGGCATGCCAGGCCTGGACATAAGTAGCCCTGGAAGTCGGTCAGTGCCACTGGCGGAAGATGGCACTGTGACCAGGAGCAGGTAAGAGATGGACACGTGCTCCAGCCTGCCTCTGTCTGGCCTCACCAGGGTAGGAGCTGGGCAGGCAGCTGGGCTGCAGATGAGCCTTCTTTTTCTGCCCATCCCCAACCCTCTGAGAGCCAGGTAAACGCAACAGAACTGGAACAAGGAGGGCCTCGGGCGTGCCCTGTGGTGTGGTGGGCGGGACCTGTGGACTAGGCCAGCAGCGGGGCGTGAAGTGCTGTGTGGGGAGCCGGTCCAAGACTGTCAGCGACACCATCCCCTGCCCCAGGAGCCACTTCATCTCACTGTGCAGCAGTTCTACCAGGTTTCCGGGAGGGGGTGCCCACCGCACAGTAGGATGGCAAATTAGCCAAAGTCCTAGGTGAAGCCCGGAGACATGGGCAGACCCAGTTTTGATCCTGCCCCTCCAGTCTCAGCTACCTCATCAAGGACATGGGAAAACCGAGTTTAGTGTCTCAGGGCTGGGACGAGAGCTCTAGGACGGCCTCCAGAGTCACGAAGACTACCGTGTGTTCCTGGGCAGGCCCTAAACCTCTCTGAGCCTCGGTTTCTCACCTGTGACTTGTGTCCAAGCTCATTATACACCTACCTAAAGGGGTGTATCAAGGATCAAGTTTAGACCTCCGCTGGCACTCCAACAGTGCCCATGAGAGTTAGCTGGTATGTGACTTCCACTCAAGACAGAGGCGTAGGCGAGCGGGCCTCGCCTCCCCGCAGGACCATAGCAAAAAATACAGCTAGACTACAGAACAGACTTCACCCAGAGTTGTTAGAGTTAGCTGGTATGACTGTCATTTCTCTGGGCAGTGGCACCTCCAACCCCCACACTACAACCCTCAAGGTCATGTAAAAGAACACAGATCCAAACTTTATTTCTTCAATAGCTCTCTCTACCCAGAACGTGCACACAGCCTGCTCTGACTGGCCGACAGGCTTAAATTAAGGTTTACTAAACATCCCCCGGCAGGCCCTGGGCTGGCCTGGCCTCTCGGTCCCACCCAAAGTCCTGACCGGTCATCTGGTAGAACTTTTGGTTGAAGGGCTGGTAGAAGTCCCGCAGCCGCTGGACCACTGCCTCAGGCACCCGGGGGTGGGGCCGGCCCTTGGACTTGCCCAGGCAGCGAGGGCGGCTACTCCCCTGAGCCTTCTTGAGACAGGGGAAGCCCTTGGTGGCATTGAAGTAGAAGTGCTTGTCCGTGACGACCCTTTTCAGGCCCAGAAAGTCTTGCACGCGGCCAACTTCTCCAGCTGGGTCACTGACCAGGCGCTCACCGCTGACAAACAGGAAGTGGGACAGGGGAAAGTACCGCAGCCAGTTGCCCAGGTGCTGTGCGTAGAGGCCAATGCGCACTGCACTCCAGGCTGTGTCCACGGGGCCCAGGCCGTGGCGGAAGGCCAGGGCTCGGAAGCTGGGCAGGCTCGGGGTCTTGGAGAGCATCTGGGCATAGTCAGAGATGGCCCGAGTCACAGGGTTCCGAACCACCACTATCAGCTTCACGTCTGGGGACATGCTGTGGATGCGACGAGGGGCCTCGAGAGTCACGAAGTAGCTGGGAGTCTTCTCCATGGTGATCTGCCCGTCCAAGGTGGGTGGCATCAGGCTCCTGCAGGTCATGTGGAAGGAGAGGTGGCGTGAGAGGGTGCTGGTCCCCCTCAGGCTCTCCCATTATAGACCAGTCTCAGGCCCCCGAGACTTACCCCTCCTTCCCCCAGGGAAGCTCCAAACCTCCAAGGCAGGTGAGCCTTCCCTCTCGCCTAGACTCACCCACCCTAAAGTGCCAGGGTGGGCAGCTTGGGATGTGCACTGAGAGGACCCAGCCCCAGAACAGGCCGGCAGCGGGGGCCTGTCCTGCCAGGCTGCCCACCCAGGCTAGAGTGGGCCCCCACCCTGACAGCGCTGTGCCTCTCACACCAGACCAAGCACCAGGAAGGCCAGTGGCCTGGACTTGCCATCCGCAGGGCTTCGCCCACCCTCCCCACATCAAAGACCCCTACACTGTAATTACCCCAGGTCACACTTTCATTAAGTGGCTGAAGGTCTCCCCTAAATTAGGCCATTAATGACTCACAAGTGTCCGGACAAAGGACAGCCACTCCTTCGCTCACTCCCTCCCCTGAACAGCCTCCCCACCCCCACCCTTTGATTGCTGCCCTCCTAATTCTCACTGACCTGTGCCCAGTTCAAATTCTAAAAGCCAGCCCAGCCCAGCCCAGCATGTTGGGGAACTGTGAGTGTGGTGGCCTGAGGACCTGCCCCAAGATCTCAGCAGCTGGGCCTCTCAGACCTGGCTCACACCACCGGGTGCAAGGCTGTGACTGCGACATCTCTGACGGTTCTTCTCCTTCTGACCAGGGGAGGGGGCGCCGACCCCACACCACGGTTCTTGAAGAGTTGTCTGATGACAGCCTCGCGACTGCCCCACACTGGGGGATGCCCCTCCTGAACACCCCACTGGGCAGTTTCCCAAAGTCAAGCCTCGCCTGCCAGCCAGGTAGTACAGGGAGAGGTGGGGCAGGGCACTGCAGAGCCAGCTGAGCAAACAGCTCTGAAGGAAGACACGCGAGCAGGCTGGAAACTAGGTCAGTGGAGGCAGAGGCTGCGGGACCTGTGCCTTTGGAGGCGGCAGTCTCTGCCGGAGGCCAGCCCCGCCTCCAGGCCCTGCTCGGCTTGGAGTCCCAGGTGCACCAGTGGCTCCCCGGAGACCACCCCATGGACCCAGAGGAGATGGTGAGCTCCATGATCTTCTGGCTGTGGGAGCTTCACCCACCCCCTCAAAACAAGGCCTTGGGGAGAGCTGGTCTACAGAAGTCAAGGGGAAATGGAGGTGACAATTGTGTACCCATTGAGGTGACAAAGTGAGCTGGAGATCTCCCTCCAGCTCACTCACTGTCCCATTTGATGGGCAGGCACACTGAGGCTAAGAGGGGGAGTGAGACGTTCGTGGGTAGAGGTGGACGCTGACCCGCAGCACTCCCACCGCTGGGCTGCAGCTGCTGGAAGGCAGGGCTCTGCTGGGCTTCTGCTCTCAGAGCCCCTGCATGCGTGCTCTGCCTTTTGACCTGGGGATACAGGTGGGAACAGCACCCAGCCCTCTGGGATAAGTTCCAGGAGACCTAAGGTGGTAACAAGGACTGAGGCCAGGACTGCAGCCTGGGGTGGCCAGCTCAGGCAATCCCCCTTTCCACAAGAGGAAGTCAAAAGAAGGGGAGTCTCCCACACTGGATCTCACTGCCGAGACCCCCTAAGAAAAGCCTGTGCTGGGCCCTGGCTGGTGTGGCTCAGTGGTTGAGTACCAGGTGTGCAAAAAGCAACCATGCATTAATGTTTCCCTCCCTTCCCCTCTCTAAAAAATAAAATAAAGAAAATCTTTAAAAAAGCAAAAAACAAAAACAGAGCCTATGCTGGGACAGACAGACCGCCAGGTGGATCAGCAGTCATCGTCCCTCCCTGCGTTGCCCTCCCCAGGAAAGGAACCAGCCCTCATTACTCCAGGACCCACCCCTCCTATCTTTGACACCCCCTCCCTGTCCCTTTCCTTCCCCAGGCACCAAGTGACCCCAGAAGCACCCCTTCTTTTCCTTCCCAGACCGGGCACTTTGGGTTTTGAACATGCCCCCACCCAACACTCTTGGCAGGGTGGAGAGGGCCGCGAGGAAGCCCACCACAGAGGAGCCGAGAGGGGCACGGGGAGGGGCTGCAGACTTTCTAGACCCGCTCTCGCCACACACCAGCTTTGAGATCTGAGAACTTTGGGATCAATTACTTGTCCTCATCTGCCCTCAGAAGCCTGTCCTGGCCAGGGCCTGGAGGAGGATGGGGACAGGAGTTTGGGGTGTGGGAGAGACTGGGGAGGGGACGAGAGGGACAGCACTGACTCTCACAGCACACATCTCACAAGATGTTCCCCAGACCCTCCCTCCTTCTTCATCTGGTCTACATCTCCCTGCAGCTTCCACCCAGCCTCGGGCCACTTTCCCCCCTCGGTCTCATCCCCCCTCATGTCCCACACCTCCTTTGGGCCTCATCCAGCCAGCCCGGGACGCAGCAGAAACCATTTAGAATTCCTGTGTGGGTCGATAGGAGGCTGGAGGTGGGGCATTGGTCCCCAGTCACAGGAGCCCCTCCTCAGGTTAACAGCAGGAGAAAAGTCCCACAGAAACCTGGCTTCCTCCCCCAACATACTCAGGCCCCCTGCTCCCTGTATTAGTGCCAGGAGCCAAAGGTGTCCCCCCACCTGCACCCCTCCTTTCTCCTCTCATTTTCCCAAACACTAAGGTCAAAGTACAGCCCCAGCTACCCCCAGACAGGATAGCCCTCCTGATGAGACCTGGGGTGCCGCTGGACAGATGCTCAGTGAGTGAATGAACAGATGAGCAAATGCTGACTGAGTTTGGGGCCACCTGGAAGTCACAGTCCCCAAGACAGAGCATCTGAGAGACAGGCTAACTGAGGCCCAGGGATGGGGAAAGATTTGGCCAAGGTCAACCTGGGGCACCTTCAGGACCCACCTGCCAAGGCCCATGGGAAGGGCTAGGGTCACTGCTTGGAATGAGGTCAGGCACAGCCCAGTGGGAATGGGTGTCCCAGAAACTCAGCTGGGGGCACTGGCTGCTCCTCCCATACTTACCGCCCTAACCCTCCACCCAAAACAGGGCTCTGCACTCCTGAAGGCTCAGCCCAGGGTCCTGAGAGCAAACAAGACCACCAGACTGTGGCCAAGGGGCTGGACACCCCCTTTGCAGCTAGAGAAGCAGTAGGCATTTTCAGAGGCTCACTGCACACTCAGAGCAGGTTGAAAGAAAAAAAGGGCCAGAGGCACAGGACATCCAGTTCACAGTTGTGCCCTGGCTGATGTAGCTCAGTGGACTGAACACAGGCCTGTGAACCAAAGGGTTGCTGGTTCCATTCCCACTTCAGGGCACATGCCTGGGTTTCGGGCCAGGTCCCCAGTAGGGGGCACATGAAAGGCAACCACACATTGATGTTTCTTTCCCTCTTTCTCCTTCCCTTCCTTTTTCTCTAAAAATAAACAAAAACAAAATCTATAAAAAAAACCCAAAAAATTCACAGCTGCACACATCAGCACACTGCCACATGTGCTAGGCACTCTGCTCCCAGAGCCTCTGCACCCACACCCTACCTCATGCCCTGAGAATTCAGGTGGGAACAGCACCCAGCCCTCCTGGGATAAGCTCAGTGAGACAGACCCCTTTGTGGGCATTCCAGAAGCCCAGCAAGCCCAGCTCCTGCTTACTGTGCACCAGCCAATGAGGGGCAGCGCCGGCCACACCAGAAGGACAGCTCTGGATTAATGGGGCAAGGCCACCATGACCTGACCCTCTGCATCCCCTGCATTCATGCCTTCCCCCAGTGGAGGTGGCTCTAAAAACGAGAAAGGACAAAGTCCCTTCTCAACCACAGCTCAACTCATTCCTGAATCCCCTGGCTCTGACCTTGGGCACCTTAGTGTCCCAAGAAATTTTCCCCAGAGCTGAGGCTCTGACCTGCCGTCTGGGTGTAGCGCCTGCAGCCTCTCGGCCCTCGATCGCCCCAGACCTGTCCCTCGGAGCTAGAGCATGCACCCAGGGAAGCCTGCAAAGGGTCTCTGGATCCCTGGCTTTTTGAGAACCCTTTGAAGGCTAAACCCATGCTAGCCTCCCCTGCAGCCCCCATTAGCCCAGCTCACGGACGGTCTCCCTTCGGCTCCCTGTAGTCAAAGTTCTTAGGATCAGCGTGGTCTCTGCAGTTTTCACTACCATTAACAGTGTGTCCTCCACCCTCACTCACCCTTCTCCCCCCTTTACCCCCCCCACCTCTTGTTCTCTCTCCTCTCCACTGCAGTGAGGGGACAGAGATGCTTCGGGGTGCAGTGGCACTGTGAGAGTGGGTAGCAGTCTCTCTGAGCTCTGAGGATACAGCCAGTGGACTCAGGGATGGACTCACCTCCTTCCCATCACTGCTCTACTTCCCTGGGACCCCCCGATAGCAGCAACCTTCAGAGCTCTGGAGCCAGAACCCCTGTTTTCACTAGGGCTCCTCCAAACCTGTGAGTGGTTGTAAAGCAATGGGGGTGGTGTGGGGGTGGGGTGAGGAATCTGGAAGCAGAGAAACTGGTGCACCTGGAGGGGTCTGGGTCCTGCCACCCCCGACCCCCGACTGGTTCACCAGGTGACCTCGGTCAGGGCTCTCTCTGCCCCACAGGGGCTGGTCCCAAGCCAGGACCTGAGGGGAGAGCTTTCAGGGAGTGAAGTGACTCACTGTCCACCTGTAAGCCTTCATTTCCCCCAGAAGAAGGGACAATTCTGGTGACAGGCTTGCATGCAACCGACCGAAACAACAGGTAGGGCCTCGCACTCTGGCCTTCGGTGCCAACCTCAGCAGGGAGCGGCTGGAGTTCCCCCGGCCCTGAGGACAGGCTGCTTCATGTGGGGATAGGCGCCCCCTCCCCCACATTCCACACCACTCCCCAGGGCCACCCCAGGGAGGGGCAGGACAAGACAATGGAGTCCCAATCCTCACCCTCAGGAGGCAGACACTTTCTAGGAGACTGCCAGTTCTGGAGGCCCTTTCCCAGGGAAACTGGCCAGCAGGGGAGCATGACTGAGCCTAATGAATTTCTAAAGATCCTCAAACCCCACTAGCTTGAAATTAGTGTACTTCTCAGTTGGGATCGCACCCCCTCCCCCGAGTCTTGCTGAGACCCCTCAGCAGCCCCGAACCAGGGCTTTCCCTGGAGTTTTCAAAGTTTTTCGGAGCCCCCGGCCAGTGACCAAGCTCCAGGCCCCCACCCACTCAGGCTGGTCTCAGCCCTCGATGCCCGAGAGACCTCTCCCCGCCGCGTACCCGCGCTGTTGCCGGGAAGGCACCGCCCAGGGAGTGCACGGAAGCCTACGGGACGCAAGGGCCCGGGCACTCACCGGTACCAGGCGAGGCCGCGCTCGTACCACCTGTCAAAGAAGTGGGGCTCGGAGCCGAGCGCGCGGACATCGGGGTGCAGACGCAGGAACTCCAGAAGGGCGCGCGTGCCGCCCTTCTTCACACCCACGATGAGCGCCTGCGGGAATCGCTGGCGTCCGGGGCCACTGGCCACCGGCAGAACCGGCGCCCCCAGGCTGCATGCGGCGCTGGGCGGCACCGCGGGTGCGGGGGCCGGTACGCGGGCGGCCGGCGGGCAGCAGCCCGGGAGGGTGCAGAGACAGTACGCTCCCAGCACCAGCGCGGCGAGCAGCAGAGGTGCACGGGGCGCACGCACCGCTGCCCCGGGACCTGCCCCGGCGCCCTGGCTACACCTGGCCCCGCCGCCCAGGCCACCGCTGCCTGCCATCCGGCCGCACCGCGCCCAGGCCCGGGAGCGTAGACTCCCTCTTGCAGAGGGTGCTCATCCCGGTCCGCGATGCGTTCACCCCGCTGAGCCGGGATTGTGCTCTGCGTCCAGCTTCCCCACAGCCCGGAGCTGGCGCGGCGCGGGGAGGAGCCCGGGGCGGTGTGCCCCGCCCCTACCCGGCCACCGCTCCGCCAGGTTACGCCTGCACCCACAGACGCCGAGGCTCAACCCTGAGCCTCAGACAACACCTGGACGCGCCACCTGGGAGACCCTGGGCTCCCGACCGCTGGGCTCCGGGTCTTCACCCTGGAGCTCCGGGCTGGGGCCGCAGAGTCAGGACGCAGGGCAGTGACAGGGCTGCCACGAGGGACCCAGCACTAGCTCTTAGAAGGCCGATCCCGCCCCTCGAGGACCAGGTGTGCTGCGTGAACAAGTGAACCGAGGACGCGCGTGGGCCTGGGCCTTACCTAGTGCACAGAGGGGTTCCCCGGAAAATCTGCGGCAGGAATGGGGAGGGCCTCACTGGCCGTCGGCTCGTCAATCATCAAATTCACAACGCTGGTGGTTGGAGAGGGCTAGCCTAGTACGATTACCATTATAGAGTCAGGGAGACAGGTTCAGGGGGGACAGCCGTCTTGCCCAAGGGCCCGGTGAAATTCGGACTTCAGTTTCCTGATCCTTCTACAGTGTCACGCCGTCTGTTTGTACAGCCTAGCCCGCCTGGCATTCCTGTGGCGTGGCGTGACCCACTTCTGACGCTGGCAAAGTGGCTTCTGTTGGAGATCTGAAAGCTGCAGGGGACCTGCGCTGGGGGGAACTAGAAGGAGGAGCCCAGTGCTGTCCTAGGAGACTGCTTCCTCTAAGGAGCAGTGAGGCTCAGGGGCTACTCACAATTATGGGACCTGCCGGGTGCTGGACACTCTGCAGAAGTTTTATACACCCCAAAGTTCACTGAACCCCCAGGACAACACAGAGAAAGAAGGCAGAGAGGACAGACAGAGCAAACCCAGGTAGAGGCGAGCTGGGACCATGTCCTCTCTCCACCTCTGCGCCAGCCCAGCCTTCCCAGCAACACGGTCGGCCAGTCTCTCCAGCTAATACCCAGAGGCCTCTGTCCTGGGTTTTTCTCATTAACGGCACCTGAGCCTAATGGCATCTGGGCAAGTCCCAGCAGCCTGCGGTGCCTCTGAGGGGCAGGGACTCTCCATGACCCACAAACGTGTCCAGCACTCACTCCCACACAGAGGCAGCCCTGTTCAGAGGGGGCTGTGCAGAGCCAATGAAGTAAAGATCATCGACTGGGGCCCCAGCACAGGTTCCAGCTGCCAGGCTTGCACCTGCTTGTCAGGGCAAGACTCAGCCGGGAGCCCTGTCAGAGGGTTGTGGGCACGGCAGTGTCTGGGATGCATGCTGGCACACGCAGGGTCAAAGGATAGTCTTTTTCAGGTCTAGCTTAAACCGGGGTTTGTTCTAGACAGTCTGGGTCTTCTTAGAGCTACCCTGGCAGCCTCCCGCGCCACCTGCAGCACCCACCCACAGTCCCAACAGCCACCACTGGGGGCTCTGAATTCCAGCCTTAAACCCTGGTGGCCCCTCATCACCCTGCTCCGACACAAGCACTGTCACTTTCCCCTTCCAACCTTTGCTCATACTGTTCCCCTTGTTGAGAATGTCTTTTCCTTAGGCCCCCACACATGCTTGAAACCATTCCAGAAGAAATTTACCAAAAAAAAAAAAAAAAACCAGACACTAAAAGCACTGGGGACAAGGAAGTGACATACAGGGACAAGGAGTATTGGCTTGGACAGTTTGGCAACTAATCCCCTCCCTCCAGGTGAGGGAGAGGTGGGTGCAAATATGGTGACACCCAGGAGGACGGCCTTGGGACATTTGTTCACCCATGTTGCCCCAGCAACTGACAGAGCCTGGCACTCAATAGACACTCTAATCATGGAAGCTGGTGGAAGGATGTGAATGGAGAGATCAAGAAAGGCTTCCTTAGGCAGGTGGTGGTCACGAGGGGAGCAGGAGGACAGCATCCCTGGTGCCGTGGGAAAAGCTCAGCAGTGCGGGGAGATGGGTAGCATGGGGGTAGAGTCAAAGGCCCATCCTGGTGCAAGAGGGAACAGCCCACAAAGGCCAGGAGGCTGGTCCCAGCCCCACCTTCATCCAGCACTTGACCTCAGGCTCGCACCACCCTGGAGCCTCCAGTTCATTCTATGTAAGATGGGGAGGCCTCAGTCCTGACTCAGAAGTCACAAGCTTCATTGAAATAGAATTGCCACACCATGAACTTCAGCCACTTATGGGTAGAAAGCAGAGGTTTTTAGTATACCCACAATGTTGTGCAACCATCGCCACAATCTGTTTTAAAATATACTCATAACCCTAAAAAGAAATTTTAGCCCTGGCTGGTGTGCCTCAACAGACTGAGTAACGGCCTGGGAATCAAATTGTCTCTGCTTCGATTCCCAGTCAGGGCACAAGCCTGGGTTGCAAGTCAGGTCCCAGGTAGAGGGTGCATGAGAGGCAACCACACACTGATGTTTCTCTCCCTCTCTTTCTCCCTCCCTTGCCCTCTCTCTAAAAGTAAATAAATAGAATCTTTTTTTAAAGTTTCAGTTTCATACCCATTAGCAGTCTCTTTCCTTTCTCCCCTCCTCCAACTCCCAGCAGCCACTAACCTACTTTCCGTGTCTATGGATTTGCCTGTTTTCCTCACTTCGCATCAGTGGAATCACTCAGCATGAGGCCTTTGTGTCTGGCTTCTTTCACTTAGCATGGTACCTCTGAGGTTTATCCACATCGAGCGAGCATGCGTCAGGGCTTCATTCTGTGGCTAACGTTCCACTGTATGAATGAACCACGTTCTGTTTATGGATCTGTCAGCTGATACACCGTTGAGTTGTTAACACCTTTTGGTAATTGTGAATAATGCTGCTGTGAACATTCATTTACAAGTATTTATGTGAACACATATTTCATTTTTCTTGGGTATATACCTAGAAGTGGAAATGATGGGGGACTCAAGAACTGAAAAATTTTAGTTCAGGTAACAGTTAATAAGCTTAGTAATCAATGTATGTAAAATGCTATTGTTCCAGGACCTGAAGGTGTGACCCACCCCGACTCCAGGAGACCACAAGCAGTTCCACCTTTGTGTCCCAAGAGGACTGCAAGCAACTCAAGATGGTGTCTGAGCCACTGTGCTCCAGGGCGAGGTGACCACCGCCCAGGACACGGATGAAAGAACGCTGCAGATTTTTATCTGATTAACTTTTCCCCTCAATTCCAAACCCTTTACCTACACGTTTCTTCTTATAAAAAGGTTTCTGAGATGAGACAAGATTTCCTCTTACAAAAACGGTCAGTTTAAAATGGAATTTAAGATGGTCTGTTAGAGTGCAAACCCACCATCTTCTCAGATCGCCGGCCACCTGAGTAAAGCACCATAAAGATTCAATCCCTGTCTCCACACTGGCTCTGGTGGTGACAGGCAGCACGAACAGCGGCTCTTCCGGTTTCAGAATTCCTGAGTCGGGAATGGTAACTCTCTGTTTAGCCTTCTATGAAAAGTCTTTTTGAAGGTCACACTTGGGGATTTCAGAAACTGCCTCCCCACGCTCCGCACACACAGGGTGGCTGCCTCCCACCCCAGGATGTCTGAGTGGCCCCTTCAGTCTGCCTCTGCCCCACCTGGCCATCAGGGTCCAGCCTTGGCTCCTCACTGGCTCCCTCCTGTGTGACCTAGACACAGTGGATTCTCCTCTCTGGGTGACAGGATGAAAAGTGACTTCCGGCGCCCCAAAAGAGACCAGGCCATGGGGCATCCTAAGAAAGTCACCCACACCCTGCCCTGTCTGGCCAGGGCAGGAATCGGGTTAGCAAGTCTCTTCTGCCCTACTGGGTCTCCCCAGAAGCCCTCTGCTTTGAGGGTCTAGGATGGCCAGAGCTCAATCCCCCTTCACCTTATTTGGACCCCCTGTCCACAAAGGATGGCCAGGGAGGGGTCCATCTGTCCATCCCCTTTGGGCCAGGCATCAGACAGGCAAATAGTCAGGTTTGATGTGGTGGCCAGAAGGAAGGAAAATTTGGGAGGGGGGATTCGCTGAGCTGCTTAGTCACCAGGCCAAGTAAATAGCATTCCTTCCGGAGAAGACAAGGAGGGCCAGAGCCAAAGGGGACAGACAGATCGGGCAAGTCTAGGGAGGAAGTCCTGGGGAGCAAGGTTGTGGCAGGAGGACAGCTCAGCCTGGCCTCCGAGATTCATGACCCTGCTGCCCCGCCCACCTATGTCTTCCCTTCACGGACTGTAATTATTTCTCTGTGGGCAATTCAGAGCCCTGTCTTTCTCCTCCATCTACCCATGAGCTCTGCAAGGGCAGGGACAGGGTCAGTCTCGGTCCCCTCTCCATGCCTAACCATGATGAGTGCTCATGGGTGTTTGCTGACTGACTGAGCAACTGTGTGTGTGTATGTCTAAAAGAGTGTACGCGTAACCTCCTCTCCCGTGCCCCTCTCTACCTTTTTACTAGCCTGTCCCCAAGATGGCCACTCTGAGTTGGGCTGGATGTGCAAGAAGCCGCCCCAGCTCTGGAAAGTAATTAATAACCCCCTCCGTGGGGAACAGCTGGGGGAAATTTCACACTTGAGGGGCTTCCAGGAACTTCCTCCACTAGAACCACACCCTCCCTTCCCAGACCCACTCCCAGAGCCTGCTGGAATTCCAAGGGGAGGGGGCTGCAGCCAAGGGCAGGCCCAGCTGTCCTTGATTTATGTGGGTTTTTTCCACTTTGGATTCCTGATTTGCCCGAGCGCATAGAGGATGTGGTTTCCTCCCAGGGAGGGGCCCCTAAGAGACGTCTGACCCACCTAACCCACTCAGCCCCAGCACCCACTGTTCCTAGTTATGTAGGAAACAAAGTAGGGGGTCAGGAGCCCATCCCTGGGGGTACAATGCTCACTGACCCAAGCGGGTGACCTTGGCAGGTATCCAGTGTCTGACCCTCACCTTCCTACTTTATAACACAAAAGTAATATGGCCTCCACCTCTCCGGTGCCCATTTCCTAAGCGCTTCATGAGAAAGAGTCATGGACATGTGACAGTGACCCGGGCACAAGAAGGGGTGCCGCG